CTTCCCCCTTCCCCCCTCCCCCTTCCCGCCCCCTCCCTCGCGGGCTCTTCAGGAAATGACGTCCCGCCTGGCGCGCCTGGCGGTTGCCTGGAGACGGGGTGAAACAGTCCGGCTCTGGGAAAGAAATGGGTGAAAGTGGGGGTAGGGGCAGGAGGAGTCATGGAAGCCGTCCGAGACCCCCCCCACCGCTTCTCCAGCTCAGGGGTAGGAGGATGGGGGAACCCAAAAACTGCTTTTCAGCGGTCACAGCTGGACACCAGGATCGCTTTGGAGCAATTAGCCGGTTTGCCAAGTCAAAATTAGGAAAAATAGCCAACTTTTGGCCTCTGAAATACCAGACGCTTCTTTCTTAAAACGTTGTTTCTTCCTCTTGCACACGCGTTGATCACAAGTTCAAGTGTGTGTGGACGACCATCAGTCGTGCAAGAGAGTCATGCATTGTGCAAGAGATGAATGTAAGCCGCACAGGGGCCAGCGGGAGCTAAGTCTTGTGCCTCCCCGAATGGGTGGCCTCCTGGATCCGGGAAAAAGGGGGAGCTGTTGTCAGAAATGCAAAGTATGCACACACACACACACACACACACACACACGCACCTAAAAGTAAGTAAGTGGATTGTATCAGTGCCAGTGTCCCAGTTGTGATCTTGTCCACATTGGGGGAAGCTGGGGGAAGGTCACATGACAACCCCATGTACTCTTTCTTACAATTGCATGTGGATCTACCATGATCCAACACACATATGCATATATATTCAAATATATGAAGTGGATTGTATGAATTGTATTCTATGCCCTTTCATCCCAAAACAGAAGACAATAGTCTGTCATCTGGCATCCACTCTCCAAAACAGATCTAAGGAAAAACTCAGGGTTTCCATTCAAAGGGGCTTTCTAAGAGGATCCATAGTGTGGTGTCCTGTCCCCACTAATGTCACACGCATCTCTTTCAACCTGAATTGCTTCTCCTAAGCTGTTTTTCTATAGAAAACTGTCTTTCCCTAAAACTGTTCTGGAATTGCCAGCACAGGGACAGGATGACTGACCCTGACCAGGAGGAAAAAAAAGAGGCTTACCTGGAGTAGGTTTGAGCTGGGTCCAGAAGGGTGGTGCTTACTCATCTGTGTATTCAGTCACTCTTCATTCAGCATTTTCCAAGTACCAGTTGTGTTACTGGGTCTCATGCTGGGTGCTGGAGACCTGGGATAAGAGACAAAATTTCTGACCTCAAGGAGTCACAGTGTAGCAGAGGAAAGATCATGTAAGTTGAACTAAAGCCAAGGATAAGAGCTGCAGTGCCTAATGTAGCCCACAGTGAGGACAGGCGACTACTAAAAATGTACCTTCTGGGCCAGCAGGAAGGCTCAGTGGGCAAAGGTGTTTACCATCAAGGCTAACAGCTTGAGTCTGATGCCCAGGACCCACATGATGGAAGAAGAAAACAGACTACTGCAAGTTGTTCTCTGACCTCAAGCACAAAATAATAAATAATAAAAATAAATAAATAAATGCTTAAGTTTTAAAAGAATAAACTTTCTCTGAGTAATGAGAAATCTTGGGAAGATTTTTAAATTTTATTTTACTTTTTAAAAAAAATTTTATGTGTATGAGTGTATTGCCTGCATGTAGGTAAATGCACCCATGCCGTGCAGTGCCCTCAAAGGACAGAAGGGGCTGTCAGATCCCCTGGAACTGGTGTTACAGACAGTTATTAGCTGCCATGTGGGTAGTGGGATTCGAACCCGGGTCTTCTGCAAGAACAGTGTTCTTAATTGCTGAGCCATCTCTTCCAGCCCCTAAAAATTTATTTTACTTTTTAAAGCATTTGTATCTCTGTGTGTGTGTGTGTGTGTGTGTGTGTGTGTATGTGTGCGTGCATGTGAGTGCTAGTGTCCACAGAGGCCAGAGGTGTTGGATTCCCCTGATAACAGAGTTACGGGCAGTTGTGGGTGTAAGCTGCCAGATGTGGGTGCTGGGAACTGAACTCAGGTCCACTGCCAGAGAAGTACATGCTCTTAAGTGGTGAACTATCTCTCCAACCCCCATGAAGATTTTTAACACTGTAGTTTAATGAGTTCCCAAATCAAAGGCTAAGAATTAAAACTCACCTTTCCCTAAAACTCTTCAATTCTCATTTCTCTAACACAGACCTGAGATGAACTGATGCTCAGTGAATGTATTTCATGGGGGTGTTAGAGGACAACGTCTTAAGTAGCCAGTTGGGTGACCCTTTTACATTCATCTTAGAGCTCTGCATGTAGCAGTCAGCGCTATAAACTCTTACTCTTCTTCCTCAACTCTGGTTGAAGCTTTTAATGCAGCCAGACCAAGATATTTAAGAAGAGAATTAATCTTCTCCACACCCCAGATGTATTAATGGCATACCTCAAAATGCCATCACACAGGGCTTAATTGCACACAGTTCAGGTTTTCTGCAAATGTATTTCATGCTTAGCTTTCAGTTAGTTTATGTTCTAATTGTAATTACTGTGATTGGCTTGATAAATGCATCCCAGGAGCTAAGATCCCCGTTCCCAACATTTCTTTCTGTGCAAAGGATGTTTTCCAGAAGGTATTTTGCTTTAGGCAGCAGAAGCCAAGGTGCTTGTAGTCTTCATGGGAAAAGAAACACTTTCTTCTGCAAACATCAGATGGTTCTGAGAGGCTGTGCTATTGTTTAACTTCACAGAGGCTGATCGAAGAGGGCAGACAAGTGTAAGCATAGGAAAGGAAGATGCTGGGCACTCTCCCATCCATCTTGCATAAGCAGCAGCCTCGGTATCAGTTTGCGCTGTGTCCCTCGGAGGAGAGGCAGTGTGTAACTGTGCTCAAACCTCTAGAATCCTATTTCATGTGTGAAGATGTGTTTGTCTTTCAGAAATAAGCTCTTGGAAACCCAAGCTGCCCAGGCTCCCAAGGGCTGTGCTGCCTTCAGGTGCTGGAAGGAAACAGTGAGTGCCTGCTTGGCCTTGTCTGTATACTGCCCTCTTTAGAGGGAAAGTGGTATTCTTTTGTGCACGGTGTCCTGTGCTTTCCTTAATAAAGCCACTTTGTTTTTCAATTTTGAGTATTGAACCCAGGGCCTTACACAGGCTAGATCAATGCTTAGACCTCTGAGCTATGCCCCAGTCATGGTTTTCTGAGACAGGGTTTTACTATGTAGCTCAGACTGGCCTGACACTTGCTATGTTTCCCAGACTTACCTTGTACTCATGATCCACCTGTCTCAGCCTCCCATGTGCTGAGATTACTCCATGGAACACCAGAGGCATTTTAATCGTTCATTACTGCTACTCACTTTGAGCCAATCAAAGTCTTTCCTCTGTGGATGTTTCTGGAACCTTGGATTCATTGGGGACAGTTGAAAAGACAAAGTGGGAAGAAAAGTGAATTGTGTTATGTTTCATGCTTAGCACACTTACAAGTACTTAGATATGCTTTGTTGAACTGGGTTTTTATTGATTGTCTATTAGTTACTTTTGCATTGCTGTAACCAAAATATCTAACAAAACAACTTATGGGAGGAAAGATTTATTTTGATTCAGGCTTTCAGAATGCTCAGTGCATGATAGTTGTAGACAGCATGGTGAAGAACAATTCACATGGCTGGCGAGGAGACTAAATAGGACAGGAAATAGCCAGGGGCAATATGCTCCCAAGAACCCACCTCCAGTGACCCACCTCCTCCAGCTGGGCCCCATCCCTCAAGCCTCCAGAACCTCCCAAAAGAGCCCCATCATTTAGGAACCAGTTATCCAAAGCATGCACCTGTAGGGATCAGATCACAACAGTCTCTCCTGAGTTTATTTTAATCATGAGGCTCCATGGTGAGTTGTGCTCTGGACATGAGGCACGAAATCCTTATTCTGATCCTGGAGCTCCCCTTTCACCAGGTGTATGATCCAGAGCAAGCAGCTTCACCTCTCATCTGTACAATGGGCCCTCATCCAGCCCTTCTCCATCTCCTGTTCCTTGTGGGGTGACTGCCTGCTCTGTGCAAAGAAGAAAAGAATGTGACACTCAGAACAGCAGAACATTACTGGTTCGTTCCCTTTTCTTGTTCTGTGGCCATCTTTAAGAGCCTTTTTTCTGTTTCGTAGTTATTTGGAACTTCTCTCCTTCCCTACTCTAGTCTGCTGGAATGTTTCCTTAGAAGGTGATAAAGACTGATTTAATTTGAGATGCATTTCCCTATGGGACATGTAAAAAGTCATAGCTGTTGTTTATCG